TCAATTTAATGTCACATCTCTACTTGATGAAATTTGTCCATTTGAATCTGACAAGTAGTACATATAAAAATAAAGGTAAATTACTTCAAATACCACTTACTTTTAAGTTTGACTTCGTTTATGACACTAACGTTTTAATTTTGTCAATTTTTATTAGAAAAAGGGTGAATCACTTTGATTGATTTAATATTTATATTAAATTCAAGTCATTTTAAATATTGCAAATTAAAATATATTATTTAATTTGAATATTAGTAGGATAATTACTCTTTGAATATGTCAATATAAAAAGGTATTTGTTACTTTTTTTAAATTTGAATATTAAAGATAATTATTAATTTTTTGTATATTTCAAATTAAAATAATATTTATTTAATTTGAATAATAAAAGGATAATATATTTGTTTAATATTTTAAATTTAAAATATATTATTATCTTTTTAATTTTATATACTAAAAGAGATTTAGTTGGAGTAAAACACTCTTGAAAATCTTATATAAATACTGCAAACCTGTTAGGTTTTTCAATTATCAGAATTCAAGAAGTGTTATTTTCTTGAAAAAATTTCTTCTCTTGAAAAAATATTTTCTCTCATTCTCAGAAAATATTCTTTTTCTTCCTTAGTTTTTTCGATGATAGTCGAAGGCAAGGAAAGTTCGTGATCTCTACTGTTGTGATGTTGTAGTTGGTCATCTAGTTATTGTATTCTGGGTGACAGACGACCAAAAGATCTCGAGCATCAAGGAGTGACAAAAAATTTGTCTTAAGGAAACTGTGTAGCGATAGACCTCGACTGATTTCGATCACAAGATCTTTTATTTTTAAAAAATTGAGTTCTTTCTTTTACTTTTTTCTCAAGTTCCATTTTTGTCTTGGATTGTTACTTTCGTTTAACAATCATAAGACATATTCTCATATTCTACCTTTCTTAATCCTATATAATTCAGAATTGTAGGAAAAAGGAGATAGTAAACAAATTTGTTTCGGGATTTATCCTGATGTCTTAACGGATTTATTAAAAATCTCAAAGTGGACAAATCTATATAACATAAATTGTCGTTAAAGTAAATGTGGTTACTGATTTTGTTTCAGAATTTTGATTATGTTCGATAACAAAACTGAAAATAAATGAGAATTAATTTTTTTGTTTATTGGAATCCTTGAGTTTGTAATCGAAATCAATTAGGATTTTAATTTTGTCGTGTAACAGAATTGTTTGATTTCTATTAATAGAAATCGTTAGGAAGTGACAACTTTGTTATTAATTTGTTTCAGAGTTATTTGATTTCCACTAAATTATGTCGATTGAATAAATTAATTTTGGTTTATTGTTGGGATTATTAATTTCGCGTTAGACGAAATAATGAGTAATTTCAGTAATTCACCTAATTCATGATTTGGAAATCCTACTCGAACTTTGAATTTAAATTCAACGGTGTTGATGGTTTTAAACCATAACGAGAAACGTGTAAAATTCTATTAATATAATTTCAAGATATGACAAAATAAGATGTTGTTTTATTTCGTCATGTTGAATTTGATCAAATATCAGATGATCCTCCAATTATTAGTGAGGATGAAGTAAACATTGTTATCACATTTTTAAAAAATGTGTAAGTATTAATCATGGCCTTTTAATATAGAATATTAAATATGGCATGTGTAACATCCCAATTATCGGGTCAGTGACCAAATTGTAAGAATTTCTAAACTCAGTGTTTGAATTAGAATAAATCTTTAAATTCAAGGATTTATAGTGGAATTTATGTGTAGGGCTTAATAGAAATTTGGGTTTAATGAAGAGGGCAATATGGTCATTTTTAAGGGGGATTTTATCTTCCTTTTTTAATGGAGATGTGCACGTGGGTATGGGATGAAAGTAAATTAATTATGGAACCATTTCCTTATCTTTTCTTCTTCTATGTGAGACCCATCTTCAAGGTAAGATTTTGAAATTTTGGTTTTCCTTTAAGTTTTTGGTTTGTTAATGAAAGGTTGGGTATTATATAAGCTTAAGGAAAGCTTATATAGCATTAAAACAATAAAATGAGTGTTTTAAGATGGATTTGTAAAATGGGTTTCTAGATGAAATTTTGTTATGGATTAGATTTTGAAGTTTTAATGAAGTATTTGACTTTTCAATATGTTAATTAAAAGGTTAGGAGTGTTAGAATTGGTTAGTAACATGTTTGAAAGCTTGGTATGATTTGAAGATTCAAGTGTTCAAATGATACTTTGGGATATTTGAGGGTAGTAAATGTGTATAAATTGGTTTAGAAGTATAAAGGTGAGTTTAAAAGTTTAAGATGTGTTCATGAAAGTGTTGGGAGGATTTTTGGGTGATTTTCAGGATGAAAATGACCATTCTGGGCTTAGGGTATCGGTACCCTTATGAACAGTATCGATACCTCATGGGTTGAAAATGCGTAATTGTTAAGGGTTGTATCGATACCTATTGATAGTGGTATCGATACTGTAAGGGTAGTATCGATACCTGTAGGAAGGTATCGATACCCTTAAAATATCGAATGCCAGATTGGTATCGGTACCTTGAAAAGGTATCGATACCCTTGAAACATTGAACCTTATTTCGGTATCGGTACATACGGAGGTATCGATACCTCTAAATATGAAAAGAAATATAGGGTTTCTTATATCTCAAGTTATTATGATTCGATATAATTGAGATAAGAACGATATTGATTTTAGATTGTTTTGTGTGTGATTGAACGTATTTGACTTCCAGTAAGCTTTACATTTTGAGTATCGATTCGAAAGGACTTGGATTAGACTTTAGTGAGGCTAAGGTGAATGCAACTTTTCTTTCTAGTAATAGAGTTGAGGAAGGCTTGTGATAAGCCAACCTATATGTTTTTGATCGAAAACTTCATATTTATTTTAAGTTTTATTTCAATGTTTTATGCAATTTCCATTATATAAACTATGTTTTATGATTATATGTTATGGAAATGTGAACTTTGAACCATTGAATGTGAACAAACTCTATGAGAGAGAACTATATGAATAAGAAACACTTTGAATAAGGATTGAACAATATTATGTGATTAATAGCCTAAAGTATATATATATGAGGATTAGAGGTATAGTTGGCATGCCAAGAGTCGAGGGTTTTATGTGGTCATTCGGGACAATTATGTGGTACTTCGGTGCAAACTATGTGGTCATTTGGGATAATTATATGGCACTTCGATGTAAATTACGAGCTGTGATGATATCATTAGTGCACAACCTCATAGTACTCAAATACCTAGATTTCTCAATAGTATACCTTGGGCAATTGGAACAAACAAATTCAAAGTATAATTATTCATAAGTATATCTTTGATATAAATTAAAGAAAGTTATTTGAAAAACATTTTGAATAAAACAAATAAGATTTATGTTAATAAGTTAGCACTATTAGTATTGTCTCACTAAGTCATCGACTTAGCATGTGTTTTCTCACGCGTAGGTTTGAAGAAAGAAGAGGACTGATTTGTGAAGAATAACATATCACCAGAAGATTATATTAGAACAAATTAAATGTTGGTTTTGGTTAACTTTTGTAAACCATTGGCATGTATTAAACTTTTAATTTGAAATGCTTTGATCAATTTTGTAAACTTTTACTTTTGGATATCTATGTAAATTATTAAGAATTTTATGTGAAATGATTTTTTTTATTTAGAACATTTATATTCTCTTTATCTTGATTGGGATAATAAATTTTAATTTATTCATATTTTGTGAATTTCGTATGTTTGAAAAGTCAAATGTGACATCTCGGATTCGTATCTGGGTCGGGTACGAGTCATGGGTGTTACATTTAATGGTATCAGAGTTATGGTTTAAGTGATTTTAAGTTCAAAATAAAGTTGTTTTTGGTTTTAAAAAGAGTACATGCCAATTTTTAATAAGTCTTTCCGATCTAATAAGGGATTAATATAATATTTTTGCTAATACCTTTAGTAATTTGATCTTAATAGATGTCGAACTTTGAAGGTTGTCGAAGTAATTTGGGAGATGGGATGGAGGAAAATAGTAACTCATTTGCCCCTAGTAGGCAGGGTGAGGAGCAGGCACAACCTAGAGTGCCTGTTCAAGATCAGGGGACTTTCTTTCAGACTTTGGATGCAATATTGATGCGTTTCCAACCGTCTGCCTTCTCAGCCCCTAAGATGAATATCCCCAAATAACTAAGAAGCCTTGGAGAACCAGAATTTAGGGGAGAAGTTGAAGAAGGTCCAGCTGTTGCAGATATGTGGCTTTATGACTTGAAGGTTATGTTAGAGAATCTCCATTTTTTTGAAATGGAGAAATTGGATGGTGTGGTTTCGCTCCTAAAAGGTCAAGCTAGAATTTGGTGGTCGAATGTGATTATGAGAGCTTCAAGAGATCATATGACTTGGCCCTTTTTCCTGGAAGAGTTTAAGAACATATATATATGAGATCAGTTCATCCGGGAGATGAAGTATGAATTTATTTAAAGCAAGGGAATTGCACGGTGTATGAGTTTGAGTGCGAATTCAATAAGTTGAGTCGATTTGCTGAAGAGCTAGTCCCTACAGAGAAAGACTCCTGTGACTGGTTTATGGAGGGTTTAAGACCCAGATTGAAGGAAATGTTATTGGCACTTAATCTCTCTTCCTTTCAAGAGGTTGTGAATCGAGCTAAAGCTTTGGAGTGAGCTCAAAATGAGAGATTTACGGAGCAAAGGACGTAATGGAATAAAAGATCTGGTGCATCGTCCAGTGCTTTACAATCAAAGAAGAGTACAGGTTTGAGTTCTCGACCTCAGACTAGAGTAGAATCCGTAACATCCTCAGGTAGAGGATCAAATCAAGGAATAGAAAGCCAAGCATATTCGGAGGAATCTGGAGTAGGCAAACTGAAGCAATGTCAATACTGTGGAAAGAAACATAGTGGAGTATATAGACGGGTCTCTGGAGCTTATTTTAAATGTGGAGATGTAGGACATTTTATTTGAGATTGCTCAATGATGACTGGAGAGCCTACCCAAATAGAGATATATGCGGCTGCACCAATGAGAGGAATAGGTCAAGGAAGAGGAATGAATCAATCCGAGTCTAGTGCTCAACCTGAAGTGCGTTCTACTGCTCGGGTTTATAATCTGAAGACTAGTGAAGATTGTGATGATCCAAAAATCATTGCAGGTACCTTTCAGATAGCTGGTAAATCTGTTTTAGTCTTGATTGAATCAGAATCAAATTATTCCTATGTTAGTAGTAAATTAGGTAAAGAGTTGAACCTTCCTTTAGAGCGTATTCGTAGTGATATGATTGTGATTAATCCATTAGGAAATAGTTCTCGAGTAAGACAAGTCTGCAAGGGGTTTCCCATAAGGATTTAGAGAATTGAATTCCCTGCAAATCTAATAGAATTACCCTTTGATGAATTTGAGGTTATTCTGGGGATGGACTGGATTTAGTATTATTATGCCAACTTGGATTACCGACTTAAGTGAGTTCAGTTAACCAGTCTTGAAGGGTTGGAAGTTAGTGTGGTCAGCGAAAGAATCTATTCTTTAGATAATGTGATATCGGTGATGTCGGCTTGGAAGTTATTGCTGCAAGGATGTCAAGTGTACATTGTTAATATAATCGATGCAAGAGTTAAAGAAAGGAAGCTTGAAGATATTCTGACAGTCAGAGTGTTTCCAGAAGTATTTCCGGATGATTTTCCTGGGTTACCTCCAGATAGGGAGGTTGAGTTTCAGATTGAAGTGATATTTGGATCAACACCAATTTCAATGGCTCCTTATATGATAGCTCTGAAGGAGTTGAAAGAGTTAAAAGCTTAGTTGTAAGAGCTTTTAGATAAAGGGTTTATTAGACCTAGTGTGTCACCATGGAGAGCTCCAGTGTTATTTATTAAGAAGAAAGATGGTTCGATACGCCTTTGTATAGATTATCGTTAGTTTAACAAAGTGACCATAAAGAACAAGTATCATCTTCCAAGGATAGTCAATTTATTTGATCAACTCAAGGAAGCGGTGGTGTTTTTAAAGATTAATTTGCGTTCAGGTTATCATCAGTTGAAGATCTAGGAAGAAGATGTTCCTAAGACGGCGTTTAGGACTCAGTATAGTCATTACGAATTTGTAGTAATGTCATTCGGGTTAACTAACACACCTACAACGTTTATGGACTTGGTGAATAGAGTTTTTCAACCGTACCTTGATTAGTTTATGGTCATCTTTATGGATGATATCTTAGTGTATTATAAGTCAAATGAGGAGCATGATGTTCATCTTCGTGTAGTTCTTCAAACGTTGCGAGATAAGAAGCTTTACATAAAGTTCTCCAAATGTGAGTTTTGGTTATCGGAAGTGGCGTTTTTCGGACATATGGTTTTTATTGAGGGAATTCGGGTAGATCCTCAAAAAGTTAAAGTTGTGCTAGAATGGGAGATTTCAAAAAATATGTCAGAAGTTCGAAGTTTCTTGGGTCTAGCAGGTTATTATCGAAGGTTTGTCAAAAACTTTTCGATGATATCTTTTCCTTTAACCAAACTGTTAAGAAAGGATGCATATTTTGAATGGAATATTAATTGCAAGAAGAGCTTTGAAACATTGAAGAAAGTTCTGACAGAAGCTCCGGTGTTAGTGCAACCGAAATCAAACAAGGATTTCACAATTTTCAGTGATGCTTCCCATAATGGTTTGGGATGTGTCCTAATGCAAGATGGGAAAGTAGTTGCTTATGCTTCGAGACAGCTGAAGCCTCACGAAAAGAATTATTCGATACATGATTTGGAGTTAGCAGCTGTGGTTTTTGCATTGAAAATTTAGAGGCACTATTTGTATGGTGAGCGTTGTTACATCTTCACCGATCATAAGAGTTTGAAGTATTTGTTGACGCAAAAAGAGTTAAATTTGAGGCAAATAAAATGGTAATCATTGACTATTATCCAGGGAAAGCTAACATCGTAGCGGATGCCCTTAGTCGGAAGACTTTTACCATTTTGCGTAGTTTGGATACTCGAATGGTGATAAAAGAAAATGGTGCTTTGATGGCTGAGTTAAGGTTGAAACCCTTGTTGTTAGATTGGATCAAAGAGTTACAAAATAAATAGGATAAATGTTTAGCTTGGTTTGATCGAGTAGAGAATGGTGGACTTGAGGACTTCGAGGTTAAGGTAAAGTGGTGTTTATATTTCAAAAATAGTGTGTATATCCCTAATGATTATGAGCTAAAACGAGATATTTTGTATGAAGTACATTGTAGTCCCTTAACGATACACCCAGGAGGAAACAAGATGTATCAAGATTTAAAAGAGCGTTTTTGGTAGCGGGCATGAAGAGAGATATTACAGAATTTGTAGCAAAGTGCTTAAATTGTCAACAAGTAAAAGTTGAGCATCAGGAGCCTTTGTGTTTGTTGCATCCCATCTCAATTCCTCAGTGGAAATAGGAAAGCATTACAATGGATTTTTTAATGGGTTTACCTTTATTGTCGGGTAAAAAGAATTCAATTTGGGTAATTATGGATCGTCTTACAAAGACAGTGCATTTCATCCCTATGCGAACAGATTTCTCTATGGAGAAACATGCGGAATTATATAACAAGGAGATAGTGCGACTGCATGGTATTCCAATATCGATAGTTTCTGACAGAGATCCCAGATTCACTTCGAGATTTTGGAAATCTTTGCAAGGAGTTTTGGGTACCCGAATGAATTTTAGTGTTGATTTTCATCCTCAGACCGATGGGCAATCAGAGCGAACAATTCAGATTTTGGAAGATATGTTGATAGCATGTGTGATCGATTTTGCTGGACCGTGGGAAAAATATTTGCGACTTGTGGAATTTGCATACAATAATAGCTACCAATCCATCATAAAAATGGCACCGTATGAAGCGTTATATGGAAGAAAGTGTAGAACACCACTCAATTGGTATGAGTTAAAATATCGAGAAGTGCATGGTGCAGACTTGATTAAAGAAGTGGAAGAAAAGGTTCAAGTGATTCAGCACAATTTAAAGGTGGCCTCAGACAGACAAAAGTCATACGCAGATTTGAAAAGAAAAGAAATTGAATTTCAAGTGGGTGATAAGGTGTTTTTGAAAGTATCATCTTGGAAGAAGGTGCTTCGCTTTGGGCGTAAATGTAAGCTAAGTCCTAGGTTCATTGGACCTTATGAAGTTTTAAAGAAAATTGACCAGTAGCATATCAGTTAACATTGCACCAGAAATAGAAAATATCCACAATGCATTTCATGTATATATGCTTCGACGGTATCGATCTGATTCTACTCACATCATAACTCCAGAGGAAATAGAAGTTCAATCTGATTTAACATATGAGTAAGAACCTATTCAGATTTTAGTTTTTGAGAGCAACCAATTACAGAATAAGACGATTCCACTAGTTAAGGTTCTTTGGAGGAATCATAAAGTAAAAGAAGCTACGTGGGAGCGTGAAAAAGATATGAGAATGCAATATCCCCACCTTTTTGTGCAATGAAAATTTGAGGATGAATTTTCTTATGGAGGGTAGATTTGTAACATCCCAGTTATCAGGTCAGTGACCAAATTGTAAGAATTTCTAAACTCAGTGTTTGAATTAGAATAAATCTTTAAATTCAAGATTTATAGTGGAATTTGTGTGTATGAATTAATTGAAATTTGGGTTTAATGAAGAGGGAAATATGGTTATTTTTAAGGGAGATTTTATCTTTCTTTTTAATGGAGATGTGCACGTGGATATGGGATGAAAGTAAATTAATTCTTGGAACCATTTCCTTCTCTTTTCTTATTCTACGTGAGACACATCTTGGTTTGTTAATGAAAGGTTGGCTATTATATAAGCTTAAGGAAAACTTATATAGCATTAAAATAATAAAATGAGTGTTTTAGAGATAGATTCGTAAAATGGGTTTCTATATGAAATTTTTTTATGGAGTAGATTTTGAAGTTTTAATGAAATATTTGAAGGGTTAGGAGTGTTAGACTTGGTTAGTAACATGTTTGAAAGCTTGGTATGATTTGAAGATTCAAGTGTTCAAATGAGAATTTGGGATGTTTGAGGGTAGTAAATGTGTATAAATTGGGTTGGAAGTATAAATGTGAGTTTAAAAGTTTAATATATGTGTTTATGAAAGTGTTGGGAGGATTTTTGGGATGAAAATGGCCATTATGGGCTTAGGGTATCGGTACCCTTATGAATATTACCGATACCTCATGGGTTGAAAATGCATAATTGTTAAGGGTTGTATCGATACCTGTTGATAGTGGTATCGATACTCTAAGGGTAGTATCGATACCTGTAGGATGGTATCGATACCCTTAAAACATGGAATGCCAAATTGGTATCGGTACGTTAAGAAGGTATGGATACCCCTGAAACAACGAATCTTATTTCGGTATCGGTACATGCGGAGGTATCGATACCCTTGAAGTGTGGTATCGGTACCCTTAGGGTGGTACCGATACCTCTAAGCATGAAATGAAATATAGGGTTTCTTACATCTCAAGTAATTATGATTCGATATAATTTAAATAGAACGATATTGATTTTAGATTGTTTGGTGTAGTGATTGAACGTATTTGACTTCCAATTAACTTTGCATTTTGAGTATTGATTCGAAAGGACTTGGATTAGACTTTAGTGAGGCTAAGGTGAGTGCAACTTCTCTTTCTGATAATAGAGTTGAGGAAGGCTTGCGATAAGCCAACCTCTGTGTTTTTGATCGAAAACTTTATATTTATTTTATGTTATATTTTAATATTTTATGCAATTTCCATTATATAAACTATGTTTTATGATTATATATTATGGAAATGTGAACTTTAAACCAGTGAATGTGAAAAAACTATATGAGAAAGAACTATGTGAATAAGAAACACTTTGAATAAGGATCGAACAATATTATGTGATTAATAGCCCAAAGTATATGTATGAGGATTAGAGGTATAGTTGGCATGCCAAGAGTCGACGGTTTTATGTGGTCCTTCGGGATAATTATGTGGTCCTCCGGAACAAATATGTGGCACTTCGGTGCAATCCTATGTGGCACTTCGGTGTAAACTATATAGTCCTTCGAGACAATTATGTGACACTTTGGTACAAATTACGAGCTGTGGTTACAACATTAGTCCACAACCTCGTAGTACTCAAATACCTAGATTTCTCAGTAGTATACCTTGGGCAATTGTAACAAAGACATTCAAAGTATAATTATTCATATGTATACCTTTGATATGGAATTAAACAAAGTTCTTTGAAATACATTTTGAATAAAACAAATAAGATTTATGTTAATAAGTTAGCACTATTAGTATTGCCTCACTAAGTCATCGACTTAGCGTGTGTTTTCTCATGCGTACGTTTGAAGAAAGCAGAGGACTGATTTGTGAAGAATAGCATATCACCAGAAGATCAGATCAGAACAAATTAAATGTAGGTTTTTGGTTAACTTTTGTAAACCATTGGCATGTATTAAACTTTTAATTTGAAATGCTCTGATCGATTTTGTAAACTTTTACTTTTGGATATCTATGTAAATTATTAAGAATTTTGTGTGAAATGATTTTTTTTTATTTAGAATAGTTATATTCTCTTTATCTTGATTGGGATAATAAATTTTAATTTATTCCTATTTTGTGAATTTTGTATGTTTGAAAAGTCAAATGTGACATATCGGATTCGTATCTGGGTCGGATACGGGTCAGGGGTGTTACAAAATGAATAAAAAAATATCGTTTGATATTTATAATTATTATAAACTATTATAATAATTATGGGTTGTGTTTGGAAATAAAATACTATTAATTTCTTTTTGTAAATTTTATAGATACA